ATACATTATATATATATATATATATATATATATATATATATATATATATATATTTAGATATATTTAGATATATTTAGATATATATATGTGTAAGCGTAAGTGACCACCGCTACCATCAGATGTAAGCGTAAGTGACCACGCAAGCCACTAGATGGTAAGCGTACAGAGAGGGTCTTGGGCCGTCAATAACGGGTCTTAACTTGCTGGTTTATTTCGAAGATAATATGAGACCCCAAGAACCCCCGTGTCCACCGGTGAGGACGAGGGTGGAGCTGGACCCTCTGGTCGCTTGGCCTGTCCTGCCGGGTCTCCTTCTGTCTTCATAGCACTGCCCTTTTAGGCGTGGTTTCCTGGAGGGCGGATGTTGAATTCTTGGAGAAAAGAGAAAGGAAGGCAACACCCTGCGTCCTGCCCAAGAGAAAGGCATTTGCTTGACCCGAGGTTAATCCGCCATCCGATCTTGCTACGTGTTGTTCACATCGCTCGGCCCGCGCGAAAGGCTTCGTCCTCGGCCGTCTGCAACGCGTGAACACTGCAGTAGCAGATAGAATACAGGTTCTGTTTCGGATCTACAGATGGTTCCTGGTGATACCGATGTCCTTGGTTGTCGCCGTCAAGGTAGCGGGTGCGGGGGAGGTTTCGCACTGAGGTGCAACATTCATTAGCGAGGAGGTCAAATCATCTTCAGAAGCTGAAATATAAGTGTACCAGGCCAGTAAAAAAGGGCTAAGGGGATGGTAATAATGTGTTTTGTCAATCACCTTACTAAGTTGTCAAGAAAAAAATAGGGGCATACTAAGACGAATAGGTTACGAGAAGGTAATTTGCAAGTAATGGGTGTTAATTACATGATTAGTTTGTTCTGTAAGTACCATCATAACGAATAGAGAAAAAGTAATTGGACAAAATTCCATATCTTTGCTAAATAGCCAAGTAATATCTTCGAACATATAGGCACTGGCCTGAACTTATTCTAACAGTTGGCGCGTCTCCGGCGCTTCAAATCTATAGCGTAATTGCGGCGGGCGCAGGATTCTTCGTTTAGCCATGAGCCCGGGTCGTGCGCGGCTGGGACCGTCAATCGTATAAGTAAAAAACATCGCGGCGGCGGGCGCAGGATTCATCGTTTTACGGCCTTGAGCCGGCGTGCCCGTTTCGGGCGCTTCAATCGTAATGAGCGAAAGTAAATATCTCGGTGCGGCGGCGCAGGATTCTTTCGTGTACGGCCATTGAGCCGGGCTTAAAATTAACTTGCGGTGATAAGAATTTATGTAGCCTATATGAAGTATGGTCCTGGTAATCATTAGCATCGTTATGAATCATTGGGAATAGACTACCTTCCATCATCAGCATACAAGTTACATATTCACCAATGCCTAAAACTAAAGAAGCATAAATTCTAGCATAGATGAGGTAAGATAATCGAACTTCGAGAGGGCGTCCGGAAGCGGTTTGGGTTCAGTTTAAAAATCTTAGGATGCACTTAGTAAAATTCATAATCCTAGATGAATTCCGTTAGGGTGGCATAGGTGGGTTTGGACCTAAGGCAGGTAATTTGACATGTACTAAACCTATTGTGAAAAAGCGAACGATTAGCGTGGGGAGTATAATAAAATACTGTGTTTGTGAAAGACAGACGATATACCACATCTCATAGAGGAAGTAGTAACGATTTACTTACTAATAGGGTACAATTAAGCAGATGAAACAAAACATCACAAAGAAAATCTAGCTGTAAATATGATAACTAAGGGGGGAAAATCGAACATATCTACACATACTGTAACTGTCTAAGAGAAAATAGAATATAATGAACTTCAATGTAAGACATAATAATAAACAGTAGAGAAAACCTGAATAGCAGAAAATATCATAGCAATAAAGTATGGTAAGGAAGGGGATTGAGGTGTGAGGTGTGTGTTGTCCTTGGGTTTGATCTCAGTGTGTGACTTCGCTTGTTGTGTTGAAAAAAAAAAACAACAATGGTTGAACAGCGAGAGGTATTTAGCATAAAGTTAGTAGTTTGTGTTCGTTGAGTGGCAATGTAACTTGAATTTGAAAGGAATGCAACTTGTATGCAAGGTGTGGGTGGTATAGGGAGGGAATAGCTAATCTGGCACTAATAGGTAACTTACTTTTCTATAGTAGCTAGGAAGTATTGTCTGATTAAGAATGGCGGCTCCATAGTTGTACTGACGAAGGCTCGTGAAGACTTAGCGAGGTAAAATGCGCCGGATTGGGCGATGTGCGGCATAGAGTGCGATAACATATCGTCAAGCGACTTCGTAGAGGTAGCACAGACGTGCGTGGTCAGCACGAAGTAGTAGGGTAACAAGGACGAAGAAAGACTTGTACGCTGGCTGGGCGTATAAAGGAGGGGAGGAGGCACTATCGACAGAAGTAGCTTGTAGCAGATAGCAATGATCGGCGTCGGCGAGGAGGTAAACTAAGGCTTGTGAGGTCTTGACACCGCTTGCCATCAGAATGTAAGCTAAGTGACCACCGCTGCATCAGATGTAAGCGTAAGTGACCACCGCTACCATCAGATGTAAGCGTAAGTGACCACGCAAGCCACTAGATGTAAGCGTAACAGAGATGGTCTTGGGGCGGTCAATGAAAAGGGTCTTAACTTGCTGGTTTATTTCTGAAGATAGATATGAGACCCCAAGAGACCCCCGTGTCCCCGGGTGGAGGACGAGGTGGTGGAGCTGGACTCTGTGTCGCTTGGCCTGTCTGCCGTGTCTCCTTCTGTCTTCATAGGCACGTGCCCTTTTATGCGGTGGTTTCCTTGGAGGGCGGATGTTTATTCCTGTGTGAAAAGAGAAAGGAAGGCAACACCTGCGTCCTGCCCAAGGAGAAAGGCATTTGCTTGGACCGAGGTGTGAATCTGCCATCCGATCTTGCTACGTGTTGTTCACATCGCTCGGCCGCGCGAAAGGCTCGTCCTCGAGCCGTCTGCAACGCTTGAACACTGCAGTAGCAGATAGGAATACAGGTTCTGTTCGGTATCTACAGATGGTTCCTGGTGATCCGATGGTCGCTTGGGTTGTCGCGCGTCAAGGTAGCGGGTGCGGCGGAGGTTTCGCACTGAGGTGCAACATTCATTAGCGAGGAGGGTCAATCATCTTCAGAAGCTGAAATATAAGTGTACCAGGCCAGTAAAAGGGCTAAGGGGGATGGTAATAATGTGTTTGTCAATCACCTTACTAAGTTGCAAGAAAAAAATGAGGGCATAATAAGAATAATTTGTTACGAGAAGGGTAATGTGTCAAGTAAGTGGGTGTTAATTACATGGATTAGTTTGTTCTGTAGAGTACCATCATACCGAAGAGAGAAAAAGTAATTGGACAAGAATTCCATATCTTTGGGCTAAATAGGCAAGTATATATGCTTCGAACATATAGGCAGCTGGGCCTGAACTTAATTCTAACAGTGCGCGTCTCGGCGCTTCAATCGTATGAGCGTAAGTGTGCGGCGGGCGCAGGATTCCTTCGTTTACGGCCATGAGCCGGGCGTGCGCGTCTGGGACGCTTCAATCGTATGAGAGTAAAAAACATCGCGGTGCGGCGGGCGCAGGATTCATTCGTTTACGGCCTTGAGCCGGGCGTGCCCGTTTCGGGCGCTTCAATCGTATGAGCGTAAGTAATATCTCGGTGCGGCGGGCGCAGGATTCTTTCGTTACGGCCATGAGCCGGGCTTAAAATTAACTTGCGGTGATAATAATTATGTAAGCCTATATGAAGTATGGTGTCCTGTAATGCATTATCATCGTTATGATCATTTGCAATAGACTACCTACCATCAGTCAGATACAAGTTACATATTCACCAATTCCTTAAACTAAAGAAGCATAAATTCTAGCATAGATGAGGATAAGATATCGAACTTCGAGAGGGCGTCATGAAAGCGGTTTGGGTTCAGTTAAAAGTCTTAGGGATGGCACTTAGTAAAATTCATAATCCTAGAGTGAATTCCGTGTAGGGTGGGCAGGTAGGTGGGTTTGGACCTAAGGCAGGTAATTGACATGTATCTTAAACCTATGTGTGAAAAAGCGAACGATTAGCGTGGGGAGTATAAGTAAATACAGGTGTTGTGAAAGACAGAACGATATACGCACATTCATAGAGGAAGTAGTAACGAGTTACTTACTAATAGGGTACAGTATGCAGATGAAACAATAACATCACAACGAAAATCGTAGCAGTAAATATGAATAACATAAGGGGGGAAATCGAACATATCTACACATACTTATCTGTTCTAAGAGAAAATAGAATATAATGAACTTCAATGTGAAGACAATAATAATAAACATTAGATAAAACACAGAATAGCAGAAAAATATCATAGCAATTAAAGTATGGTTAGGGAAGGGGATTGAGGTGTGAGGTGTGGTGTGTGTCACTTGGGTTTGATCTCAGTGTGTGACTTCGCTTGTTGTGTTGAAAAAAAAAAACAACAATGGTTGACAGCGAGAGGTTATTTATCATAAAGTTAG